ATTTGTACAGAGTAGAAAGGGACACTTTGTCCAGCATTGTGAAACCTCTCCGGATCAGTGCGAGAAGATTGTTGGCTTTGTTGACTTGGATACTGACATGTTTGCTGAATTTTAGATCACTATCAATATTCACACCTAGGTCTTTTTCTAGTCTCACAGATTCTAGAGTGATGCGTTCACCTTTGGATGTCATCTTGTACTCGCATGGGTTTCTATTTTTTCCCAATGTGCATAACATTGCATTTTCTGCATTAAACCTCAATTGCCAAGCATCAGACCAGAGCTGGAGTCTGTTCAAGTCATCCTGGAGGTTGTCCGAAAAGTCGGGTACTTCAGCAAAGATCTTCGTATCATCCGCGAACAGAAAAGTAGCAGAGAGGATATTTTCAGGGAGGTCATTGACGAAACATACACATATTGTCAAATATTTCCCCAACTATTAAACATAAACTCTCCAGCTTTTGCACAGTGACTTGTATCAATGTTTGTCTTAACAGATCAATATTTTTTTAAACACCTGCTAGCTCTATTCTGGAAAATTTCTTAGTAAAAGCTAATTAAAAATCCCAGTGGATGATTTCTGCAGATTTTGAAAGGTTTACAGTTGGGACAATACCACTTTTAAAAACAAGTCCGTCATTTTTCTTAAATCGCAAGTTTATCTTTATTGAACGCAAGTTTTGAGAACTTTTAGTGCAAAAAGAGTTCACTATAAAATCAATTTCTTATAACAAGTTTTGCCACCGAAAAGCCTCGTTGATGAGCTGTGACGTAAGTCATATGCGTAAGCAAAATGTGTGTGAGAGGTGGGAAGTGCTGTTAACAATTCCATTTTCCGCGTGAAGGAGGTAAGATATAAGTATTTTATATAAATTTATAAATAAAAGTTATTTTAAAATCTGGCCTCAATTGTGGAGGAAAAATATGATGTTAAGGCAAATTGAAAAAAACTGCTGTGCAAAGTACGGGTAACATTGATTTACTCGTTAACAATATATTTAATGATAAGTTGCGCCGTCAATTTTTGACCACACTATAGAACACATATTGACAATAAGTTGCCCCACGGATTTTTGACCGCACGACTGAAGCTTGGCTATAACAGAGACCATAAAATAATTAAATACTCTCTGGCTATAACACGAATTCTGTGGGCTATAATCAGAACTTTTCCGTGGTTTCTTGTGTCCAAAGTTTAATAATACCAGTATCGAAGTCTTCTTCTTTGAAAGTGCAGTTTACCATTGACCCTTCGCTTAGCAACGATATATCAATGCGCCAAATTTTAGTATTTACACATTGCTATTATGTAATAAAATCCTTTAAAAACGTTTGATTATAACAAAATATGCAAATTGATTTTGAAAATGACTTTGTTTGAAAATAATAATGAGTTCTTTAAGTATAGCCTTGGGTCCCATTTATACCGCGCGCATTAATTACTTTAGCGGTTCTTCGGCAGGCCATAAACAACTTGGTAACCATAAGAGGGAAGGGGATACGAAAGAGGCTTCTTTGATACTAAAAAAACAAAATGTCCCGTGCTGCTGGAACTTTGGTGACCACCAACAATGCGACCTACATACCGCCACGTTTCATGCCAGGGTATTTTGCTTTTCATGCTTCTATATATTCTTCTCCAGATATAAGATTAAAAGTTAAAATAACGAATGTTATCGCAGACAACAAAGGCCCGAGAGGGAAAAAGTCAATACGAATACGATCAACCCCTCTCATTACGATATATTTAAAGAGTTCAGAGTTTTATATTTATTTTCTACAGGAGGATACATGTTTCGATTTGCTTGTCGTCAATTTTTCGTTATAGTATAGTTTTCTTTAATAGGCTTGTATTATTTTACGAAGTGTATACAGACCCGGTAACTGGGAACCATGTCACGAAGTATACAGACCCGGAAGGGGTACTCTTTTGTGATTTCGGAAAGTTTCAG